TTTTCTTTTACCGTGGGACCAGAGCTATAGCATCTCTCTCATGTCCTCTTTCTATCAACCATGTTTCTGTAATATTTTCCACACCTCGGTGTCAGGCCCAGACAGGGCTTTTCACCCTACAGCCTCCATGAGGTGTCTAAAACTCCTGGAATTAAATAAAAGAGAATAAATAAATTCCACCACCCCCTGCTTTCCACTAAAATCAATTTGCTTATAATAAAACTGGATTTTTTTATTTCTCACATGTACCTCTGTATATTTTCATGTGATACATATGAATAATAAAAAGTAATAAAAATAAATCCTAGACATACCCACATCCTAAGTGTACCTTGGATACCCTAACCATAATCTGTATGTCTCTACTATTTAGTACTCATTCTTGAGAGTAAATGCAGAAGACAGTACAGTTTATGCTTTGAAGATCTGAATGTTACAGTCTTCATAGATAAATAGTTTAAAACTACCTAAAACTTCAGTAAAACCATCTGGGATCATATGGAGCTCATTGAGTCTTGAGCCTTGCCTTCATTCTGCATATTTTCTATGTAGTCAATGCACTTCCTACCGCTGTTTTAATTGCCTTACTATACTTAGTATTAGTCTTGGAATTACTGTTGCTGTTACTACTTCTACTACTACTGCCATGGCATAGTTACCATTTATTACGTAATTAAATACTACTAATGTGTTTACTACATAATTGCATTTTGCAAGTTTTTGTCAAGAGATGGTGCTAAAACTCTGAGTGTTGTCTAGAGTTAACCCCCAGGTGCTGTGACTTTGTAGAAACTTTGTCTCTTGTAAATGAAAGACTGTAGATTCCTGCTAAAAATACAGAGCTTTGGCTTCCTCGTTTTCACTTAGAGTGTAGCTATGGATAAACACACAAAAAGCAGGTGTTTCTCAGAGCAGTGGTGTCACTGCTCAGGAGCACAGGTTTCCTACAATAAACATATCCTGTAAATGTTACAGTCTATGTCAGCAACAGTGTACGTGGCTGCTGCATTAAAACCAGAGGTGGATCAAACCTTGCTGGAGATAAATCCCCCCCAAAATTCAGCTGAGCAGTTTTGCCAGATCTATGTGATGTTTTTCCTTCAAATACTATTAAACCAGTCACCTAAAGTAGTTGTCATACAGTTCAATTAAAAGGCCTTCCTTAAAATGTTATATGCTGAGACTCTATTTAGGAGGATTTAATTATGGGAACTACTCATGGTCTAGGATGCATTGGAGAGTCAACTGTTCCCAGACTCTGTCTTCCTCTAGGATTATTTATCATGTGATAAATTGTGTGATAACACAATTGCTGCCAAAATTCAACAGAAACTGGCTGATCAAATGAAATATATTCTGGATGTTGAGTTCGTGTTGATGGTGGTAGTTAGTGGGACTGCATTGTGCAATGCTGTCTTAGATAGGAATTTTTGACTTCTGTTAAAGACATTTATCTGTTAATACCACACCTATGCATAAAACTATATAGTAAAGTGGTTTTGCATGCTTTATCAAATTTTATGATATAGAATATCACCATTTAATAGACTACATTTTACATGTTGGACTGAATATTTTTGTTGTGATTATCTAGTGTAACTTAACTACTACCACCCACTATTTTATTATTGGGTACTTCCACAATATTACTTCAAGCATCAGTTTTGTCAGAGACACCCAAAAAGGTTCTTGTCTTTTGAGACATAGTTGTGTAAGAAAATAGGCCAAACAGTGGATCCAGACTTAGGTTCATGTGAAGAAAAAGAATGACTGTTTATTTACTTTAATACTGTTGCAGTCTTCTATCTGTAAATCAGTCCAGGCAGGAAAACACACATTTACATATTGCAACATAAATCTCTCAGCTTTACTCTGGCTTTTTTTTTTGAAACATCAGAAATGTCTCCTAAATGTGATCTCTTTCCAGTTTCTTTCAAAAAAAAAAAAATGTCTAAGTAACATGGAGCTCTAGTAAATACAACTACAGATTAAGATAAAACCTTTATAAATACTTGTCAGTTAAAAACCCAACCCAAACCACCATCTGCACCACTACCACCACCACTACCACCAAACCTGCCAAACCTCCTTAAACTTATTTTCTTAGGTTTATTAATCTAACAGTATCACTTTTCAAGAAATTACAAAGCTTAATGCTTAGATCCCATTAATGGACTGAGCTTGTAAGTATTCTTGCCAGCTTAAAGTTCTTTCCAATTATTTGCATTTGTGTGTGAGCAGAGGCTTGAGGCACGAGTTTGCAATTGTTTCATTTTATTTGAGGAGCTCAACTCTTTCCTGAAGCTTTTCCACAAAATCTAACAAAACCAAACCCAACCAAAAAACATCCCCAAATAAACAAAATAAAATCCATGACCAGGACAAGTGTATATGATACCATATGTCCATATTAACTTAACTGGAGAAGGGGTGTTTTTCTCTCTCATCTTGTTCAATGTCCCACAAACTTTTCACAGCTGCAAGGTAAGAAGTTTTCTCTTTTTCTTCAGTGCTAGGGGATACCAGAATCCCACATTTCTTCAAAGGCTTTAGGGTACTGTGAACTGAAAAGTAATTTCTGTTTTCCTCCATCACTGAAGTGCCCATCAGCATTGGGGAAATCTAGGCAAAGACAGTGAAAAAGACTGGAATAAAGCAAGATAAAGCAAATTAAGTTCAAAGAAGGCTACCAATATGGATGAGCTTAAATCATATTTGAAGCTTTTATTTAGGCACTGTATTGAAGAACAAGAACTACAATCTCTACTGACATAAAATTTCATGAAAATATTATTAAGGGCCTATTAAAACCATTACACTTACATAAAGAACTTAATTATACAATTACTGTATTTGAGAGGAAAGAGAACTGTTAGTGCATTAGTAACTTTTTGTGAAGTTTCTCAAAGAGATGTCTGTATAGTGTCTTTATCTTAAAATAAAAGTTTATCTTTAAAACTTGGTAATTAGCAGCAATCTGTTAAGCAATCTTCATCTTTGGCCTTCAGCTAAAGTCACCTTAAAGTGGTATTCATCTAAACTATATTTTAATGGAATTAGCATTAACCAAAAACCAAGTTAGAAATCAAGTTATGAGTACAGAAATAATTATTATTGCCCTATGTGTACTATTAAAGCCTGAAGATGTTACAGATTAATGTTCAGAAAAGCAGACCTGAGGTACCTTTTTCCCATACATTTTTAGAAAATTGATTGAAATATTATATTTTTAGTGGTAACTGTGCAAATAAAATGTTGGTCGGTTTTTAGTTTACAAAAGGCCATTTCTTGAAAAAGTCTGGCTTAGGTTCTTAAGCTGTTCTAGTTATTAACACCATTACATTACATCTTAAGTTTTGAAAAAATAATGTTTCACTCCCTCCTATTTTCCCCTTCACTCAAAAAAGTGGGTGAAAATAAGATGTTTTGCAAAGAGCTTATTTATGAAGAAATGTTGATCAAGGCTAATATAACATCTGAAATTTTAACTGTAATAAAGTGTGAGAAAAAAAACTGTGAGGAAGTTGTTTTGGTCATTTGCAGAGTAATGTGCCATCAAAAACGAGTCACTGCAAACTCCACTGGCAATACTAAAAATAAATATTTTCTTTTTAATACTTCATGTGGCAAATCCAAATGAATGGGCAGATTGTGGGAGGATCTATTCCATGGTCTCGACCTCAAACTGCTTTTGTAGGGTGGATGTGGCTCGGGGTCAGAATCTGCCCTTTTTCTCTGGTGGCAATTTGAGTCCTTCATCCAGTGGTGACTAATTAAGGCAAGTCCTTGCTGGTAGCCTGTGGGATGAAAGATTAGAGGCTGTTTTTCTCTAATCTCCAGTCAATTGCTGAAATAGAGGAGGAAATTATTTCACTTATGGCTTCTCCAGTTTCTGTGTTTCTGAAACACACAAATGCCCACAGACACTCATAAGCTTTGCAACTGTTTACTGCATATTATTTACATAGAATTCTTTATATAATCTTCTCTTCTTTCCTCATGTCCTTTTCTGTGGTAGTTTTTTCATGACTGAACTGTAAGGCTGGAAGCAAATATCTTCATAGTGACAGAAAAAGGGGAATCTGAGCAAGTTAAAATTACTAAATAAGTATAATTTGTATTTCTACATTTTCAAACACAAATGTAGCAAAAAATCCTACACAAATTAGGTGAAGAAAGGTTATCTCATAGATATTATCTCTTTGAACAGCCTGTAATCAAGGTTTTAGTATTACAATTTGTTCTAGGTTTTTCTGATACAATTTTTTATGACGGCTTAAGAGGCCTGTGGTTCAGTGCTAGAATACCTGAGAGTAGTTTTCTAAAAAAAAAAAGGAAAAAAAAGAGTATCATGATTTCAATAGTTAATGCCTTTGTGTAGTACTTATTTAATTGCAGTGTTATACTCATAATGTAAGTCAACTATAGCTTATAGGTATGCTGCAATCACTGTTTGCTACTCAGCTAATTATTTAAACATAATCAGAGACTCTGGCATTTAAATTAATTCAGTAAAATTCTGTTCTTTCCACTTTCTGACTTTAAGTATGTCTTGAAATTCTGTGTTAGATACGTTAGGTTAAAATGTATATTCTTGGGCTATTGCTGGTTGCAGTAAAATTCTTAATTTTAGAGGAAAGTCTTATTTCAGGATTCTCTTCTGCTGCAGCCCTCTCATGCTGGTGTACCCCCTCCCTATGCTCTGCCAGCAGGTATCTTAGTTGTAATAATAGAAAAATGTCAGAGTATGTTTTCACAAAGTAAAGATGAGCAGCGCTGTCCCTACTCTTAAACATATTTATTTATAATGAATTCAAGGAACACAGTGATTGCAATTTACCTCCCCTTTTTCATGACCTTCTTTATCTTCAGGTCCACGAAGATGGGTCAGCACAATCTAATCTGTTGTTTGTTCAGATGGGCTGGGACATTCAGTTATCTTCAGGCAGGATCTATACTACAGTTCCTCAACTATTTTTGTGACACACACACAAGACTGTTTCATAATGAAATGAACATGCAAAGCCTAGGAAAGAAGAACACCTTTGTATATATATACACTATTATATATTTTTGCCTTCCTTTTTTTTTTTTTTTTTCTATTTCATTACAGGTTTGTTTAAGAGGGAATTTGCATCATTTTTAATTTCTGTGTTTCCTCCCAAACACAGGGAACCTCCAGTGAAACCTGCAAGCATAGAAAGAGAAACTCATTGCTAAACCCCAAAAAGAAGATGAAAGAAGTGAAACAAAATCTCAGGTAGGAGAACCGGAGCTTGTGATTTTGTCTATGGTCCAGGCCACAGAAAAAGTTGCCACCAGTACCCCCTGGGACAACTCTTGATGCAAGTTTCTTCCCCCAGGCACATTTGGACTGGGTGCCCAGGGTATTAAAGTAAGACCAGTCAGGATCTGTGGAAACATCTGATTTTTACATGAAAGGATCATGGTGATCTGGAGACAGAACAGAGAATATGAATGAAGCATATTCTGGAGACAGAGGTTGGCAAGAGGACATGGTGAGTTGTGTCACTGTGGTCTTGAATATTCTTCTTAAGTTATTTTATTTTGGTTTCTTTTTTTTTTTTTTTGACTGCTGGTTGATTAGTTTCATTATTTTGCATTATTTACTGAATTTATGGAACAACTAGCTAGATGAAAATATTTTGATTTCTTTGAAATAAAAGAGTGACAGAAACTCTCCTGTTAACTAATTTGGAATTAAGAAAGGCAGTCTTCATGTTTGTTGTACTATTGTAGTGTTGCATCCTGCCCATTGCTTTAGGATCCTAGAGATTCCCTTGCATTGCAGGTCAGAAGATCTGAACCTTCATCCCAAATTATATTATTGCACACAGAAGTGTGATACAATTGGCACTTGAATTCACTGCCAAAATGTCCATGAATAAAAAGTGCAACACTTGGTTCAATGACATTGGGTCTGAATTTAAAAACTAGTATTAAAATCCAGTGCAGATATTTCTCTGTAATGTCAGTGCAGACCATTTTGTATATTTGTATTTTCCACAGCCAATTGTTCTAAGTACAATTCACCCCATATTCTTCAAATCAATGAAGATTTTCTTTGGGATCAGAAAAGCAATTACAAGTAGATAATTACATTTCTGCACCATTTATGCTTGAAATCTCTAGCCTAACTTACAATTTCTCTTATTGATAATCTATTTTTAATTTCTAGAAGACATCTGAAGGGTGTCAATTTAATGTAGACCGGCTGATGCTGTTTATCAAAAAATCATTTTGATGTTTGAGTTATTGTTTTTCTTAACTCACATAAATATGGCAGAATTGCCTTGCCAGTCCCTGAAGAAGTCTTGACAGTTTAATACTATTTTATTTTATGATAATTTGACCTAGTATTTAATTTATCAGGTCATTAACATATCAGACAGTCTGTGAGCTATAAGATATCATTTGTTTGCGTTAGTACTCTCCATTCCCACTCAGCAAATGTATGAGACAACTCATTCTTTGACTTGTCATATTTGTTCTCATTTTTTGTGACATTTTTATATCTCTTTGCCAGTAACTGTGAGTTCTATTATTACATTCTTTTTTCACATGCCAGAGTAAACCTGTGAGTTAATTGTTATCTACGCAGTTCCTCAAAATATGGAAAAATCTTGCAGGAAATCAAGACTCTATTTGTAGGTTTGAGATTTTGAAAAATGTGTAAATGAATTTTTCTTAGACTTCTGACATGGTGCTTGTCTTCCTGATGTAGACGGAGAAGTTAATGTTCTTTGCAAGACATTAAAAGGATTCTAGAGTTATTAAAACTCCTTCAGTTGTTAGTGCTGGTAAGGAGAGGTGAGCTGTAGAACACCTTGATCACTGTCTCCAACTTGTAGCACAGAGCAGCTGCAGGTTCTGTTTTCACATTTCTCAATTCTATTTCACCATTGTCTGTTCTTCTTAAAATTTTTCTCTTAAAAAAAATCATGGTTACTCTTTACCACTCATACGTTGAAACACAGAGATGGTTTTTCACCTTTTCAAGCTGTTTGGAATGGTAAGAGAGATTTCATTCACAGTGGAAATATGTTTAAAAAAGTAAGGATCACAGCTTTTACTGTAAGTTTGATGAAAACAGTTTCAGATTTTGAAAACAGACTATGTTTTAGATTCATTCCTCCATGCTCCTCCTTAACTAACCGTGCTACTCTGCATCAGTTGTCAAGATGCTGACCCTTAAGTATCATTTTAAACCAAACTTATTATTGGTAAACTCTTGTACCTTAATATAAGTAGGAACAGTTACTTTGGGATTACCCTGGGAAGTTTAGTGGCCCCACAAAATAAATTCTCTGAGTGATGACTACATAGAGAATGAGCAAAGTGAAATTTTGTTTATTATTGGAAAATTATTTTTGTTTCATTTCAAAAGATGCCCAGATGAACACAATATTACCACTAAAATAAAGATGCTACCCACCATAATAGACCCTTTTATTTTCACATCAAATTTAGCGATAGCTTTGCCACTCATATCTAAGAACAAGATTTGCTGAGGATCCAACAGAGATTTGCTAGTTTATTTTAAATGAGTGTTTTAGCAGTGAGGTCCAAGCTTTTTTTCTTTTATTACAAAATTAAGTTCATTTCAGTGCAGTATTTCCTCTAGGGTTTTAACATAGGTGTGTAGTTGCACTTAATAAGAGTTCATCAAATTCTTATAATTTGCATCAAAAATTATCTGTACACCCCTTTTATCATGTAACTTTTTCCCCAGCCTGACTTGTAACTGTCCTCAATTTCTCTGCCAACAGAAGAAGCTCCTGCATTAAGCAACAAGCTGGAGCTCCCAGAAGAACCTTTCCTCTCATCCAGATAGACAGATTCTGGTTTTCATAGAGAGTGTGTGTGTGTGTGTGTGTGTGATGTGTATGAAAATTTTGATTACACTTTTAGTACAAACTATCCAGTCATACTGCAAACAAACCCTGTTAGATTATTGCCAGATAGGAGCATAGCACTGTTTAGAGGAAGGGCTTTTTTGTGGGGGAAAAAAATAATCACTTATGTTTATCTGTTTGTATCTTGTGGTGGCTGGAAGACTGCTGTAGAGGAATCCCTGCTTTTTGTGGTAAATGAGATTTTCTTACTGCAAACATAAACTGTTGGGTGGTACGGAAGAAACTGAGGATCAGAATAACATGAAACACAAGTTCCTGAGGATTGTAAAGGCATTGCTGGTATGAATATGAAAAGCAAACATACACGCTCTGTGGGGAAAGGTGGTGATACTCCGAAAGAAAGTGAAATAGAATCATAGAATCATAGACTCAGCTGGGTTGGAAAGGACCTCTGGAATGAGATCTTACCAATTGACACCACAATTACAGCGTGGCTCCTATGCCAGATGTGCATAAAAAGATATATTTAACCAAACCACTGTGTTTTATGGCTCTCTTATGTACTGCTCTCAGGACCATGAGCATCCCAGTAGTGATACTAAACATAAGACTGTATGTATACAGTTGGTTATTTCTGAGGCTCAAAAAGCCCAAGATAAACAGTAACCTTTACCATGGGCTCGTACTGGACCAAGGTGGATTCTTGTTCTCCTGGCCTGAACCTTCAGGGCATCAACATACACCAGCTTTTCTGGTCACCACAACAGGGCTTAGAACCTCTTTTTAAAATAAATATGGATTAAAGTTTAGGGAGCAGGACACATAAGAGTAGATCATAGAATAATAGAAATCAGCAGGGTTGGAAAAGACCTGAGATCATCAAGTCCAACCCTTGATCCACTACCACTATGGTTACTAGACCATGGCACTAAGTGCCACATCCAGTCTCATCTTAAAAACCTCCAGGGACGGAGAATCCACCACTTCCCTGGGCAGCCCATTCCAATGCCTCATTACCCCCTCTGTAAAGAATTTCTTCCTAATATCCAACTAAACCTCCCCAGCACTGATTCAGTGATAAAAATTCCAATTTTTGACAGAAGATCTTCATATTTAAGTAAATGGTGGTGTCACAATGCTCTAAGGGACACAGGGCATTTTGTTAAGACAAAACAGATATATTGTTCAAGCTGATTTTAAAACACCTTCACAGAAATACACTGCACAGTATTTAATCTGTTTTTTGAAAATTTTAATTTCATTAATTGAACCCAGTTTTCTTAATTCATTTGGACAGATATTTTTGGAAGGACAGCTAACTTCTCCAATCTGCTTTTACTTTCAATGTTACTTTCATTAGATGTTTCATTCTCTTCATATAGCATTTCTTAGGGACAAACTATTAGCCACTAATACCAAGCATGCCCTGTAGTATCTTCCAAGTCACAGAATAATCTACAGATAATCTGTGATTCCCTAAATACTGTGATTTGACTGCAATGTCGAATACCCTACAGAAAAAAAAAATAAAATATATATATATATATAATTTTATTATCACAGGATTAGAACATCATGTCATCTTCCATTTTGGGCTGTGAAGAAATTTAACTTCTGGCCTGTGTAACTGCTGCTGGAAAGAATCAGCAGAGCTTGTGCTGTTGGACTGGTGATGGGGCCATCTTGTTTCTCACACAACTGAGGTGTAGGTTTCCCTCCAGATCCTCTTCCACCACCTTTTCCAGAAAACTTACTTTTTTATTCCTGCACACCATACTTTTAAAGATGTCTTAATCAAACCTAACCGGTACTAAATCTTAACTTCTCCTACTAATTGAATTTTACTGTTTCTAAAAACCTATCTTCCCCCCCCCCTTTCTTTCAAATATTAAAGCACTTTATAACCTTGTATAAAAGTAATACAGGAATTCAGTGTATTAACTACTCAGTGGCTATGGGTAATTAAAATCACTAATGAGTTGATGGCTTGGCTAAATAGCTGAGGTAGCAGTCTTTGTTCTCATGCTCTTCTGCTCCTCCTATTCCTGTGCAGAAGTTATTGTCACTTTGCTTTTTACTTTTTCATTCATTGCTCCTTATCTGAAGAGTTTTTTCTCACCCCTACCAGTACAATGGTACAGGAGAGAAAATAAAAGTCATAAAACATGCTTTGCTTGCCAAAATGTAATGAAAAATCCTTCCTGACTTGCTTCATGTGACATTTTGCCAACGCAAGAGTGAATGATCTCTCTAACTGAAACACCTGGAGTAAAAATTGAATTGTCAAGCAAAAAATCTGTAATACCTTTTTTTTTCCCCAGACATGTGCAGACTGGAGCCTTTACTTGCACTTAGGCTGCATAACAGAGACCCTAATATACACTTACAGTTTCTACAAACATGAAAAACATTGAAAATAAAAAATGAAGAATATCACACCAGACCTAAGACACACAGTGGGGTCTGGGGGATTGTGCTCCTTCCTTTTTTCACCATGTATCTTCTCTTTTGCAAAGTCAATGCAGTTATGAAAATCCCCATCACACAGTATAACCCCTCAATACTCCAGGGCCAGATTCTCAGGTGAATTTATTTCTTTTATCCTCCGCATCACTCATTCAGGAAAAAAAGACCAATAAACT